TTTTTAAATGGGTTTGGAAGGATTTTGGGCTCTTTCTTGCGGCCGTCTCGAGTGGGCTCCTAGAACACTTGGAGCCTTCTTTCGGCCCGCGTCGGGCCTCTTGGAGCATTTCAGAAGCTATCTTGAACCCTCTTCGGCTATCTTGAGCCGCCTTGGAGGCCACCTTGGAACATAGGAGGCCCTGTTGAAGTAATCTTGGGCGAGAAAGGACCCCCTGACACATCGCGAACCCCCAGAAAACGTGAAGGAGGGGAGGGGGAGGGTACCCCTCCCTGAAGGGAACGGCTGGTGGGACTTTTTTCACCCCGAGGCGTGGCCAGGTCTTGTGTTGATGTACTGTTCCATTCTCATATTCGAAACCACCCTCACCCCCGCTGTGACAGGATGGCAAGTCAGCTTTCCCAGCGTACCCCTTCTAGGCGGGAGTGGGCGCCGTGAAGCCTTGAGGAGACGGCACCCATGCCCACCTGGGGACTGTAAGTCGGCTGGTGGGGCCAAGTTTTCCCTGGTGGGGATGGGCCCAGATCCCCGGCGAAATAATTTTTCGCAACGTCAGCCCCCAGAGATCTCGACCCCTTTCCCTGGACGTCATTTCGTTTTTGTTTCTCCTGACTCGTTTCGTGGTGGTCCCAGGGCCCTGGCAACGGCCCCTGGAGGCTGAACCTTGCCAAAATCCTATGTCGTGACTTTTCCACGACTCGGGGGTGTCCGGGGGTCTGGTTGCACTGCGAAGGCCTCACGGCCGGTGCCGCCGTCCCTGAGAAGGCCGTGCTGCCGAGACCCTGGCTGGCGATCCCCTCCGGGACCCGCAGGGTGGGGGTGGGGTGGGGGGCGGCAGTCTGGCCCGGGCCCCCCCCCCCCCTTTGAGCTCCCCTGGCAGGGAAGGTGCTGCATCTTCGAGCAACCGGTGCGCCCCGCGAGGCAACCTGGGCTGAGGCCCGCCGTGCGCCGTGGCCGCGCCGGGCTCTGCCGCCTGGGCCTCGCCGGCGCCTGCGGCGCTGTGCTGCTGGGCCGGGCCAGGCGCGGTGGGCCCGCCGGCGCTTCGTGGCGAGGGGGAAAGGGCCTCCTGAGGTCTGGCCGTGAGTCGCCTGCCTGTCATGGCCAGAGGAGGACGGAGGTGAGAGGAGGGGGAGGAGGACGGATAATAACAATCGTTATTCGAAACATATGAAGAATAGTAGCACTAGTAATGATAAACCCAAGACGAATAATATTACGTCGACTGCTGTTGTTAGGACCAACTATATTCACACGTAATAATTAGCGTACTGGTCGCAATAATAATAAGAAGACGACTAATCGTATTTGTTGCTTCATATTAGTAATGGTACGAAGACGATTCATATTAGAACGAGTCATACGAGTGATAACAGGAGTAGTAGGAATAATAAGAGGAGTACTCGCGATATCCGAATATTTCTCACAGTAGGAAGCATGCTTTTGATTATAATTCTAATCAGATTAAGAATAAGTAAACGAATGCGACGAGGAATGACATTAATTTAGCCATTAAAAATAATGATGATTACAATACGAATAATTTATAATAAGAGGACGAATCATATTTCTATTAGACACTAATAATAAGAAGAAGTCTGTTGTTTTTCTTCATTCTAATACTGATATATTAACTATACAGTAACAGTGGTGCCAAGCATTATACGCAGACTACTAAAACAATCATCGTCATCGCAACAGTAATATACAACGAATTAATAATTTGGTAATAAGTCAATAAGTCTAAGACCCCTGCGAATAATGAAAAAGACAATGCCAGTACTAGTATAACTATCACACTAGTAAAAACAAATTTCCAAATCATGTTTCCATCAATCATAGCTACAATCATACCAACAATACTCTGAATAATAACACGAGAAATAATACTACAACTCGTGATCGTAATCGCCATCGTAGTAGTAAATGTAGTATCAGTAGTAGTAGTAGTAGTAGTAGTAGTAGTAGTAGTAGTCGTAGTAGTAGTAGTAGTCGTAGTAGTAGTAGTAGTAGTAGTAGTAGTAGTAGTAGTGGTGGTGGTGGTAGTGGTATCAGTAGTAGTAGTAGTATTAGTCATAGTAGTAGTGGTGGTAGTAGTAGTAGTAGTAGTAGTAGTAGTAGTAGTCGTAGCAGTAGTAATAGTCGTAGTAGTCGTAGTAGGAGTAGAAGTAGTAGCAGTAGTAGTAGTAGTAGTAGTTGTTGTTGTAGTAGTAGTTGTAGTAGTAGTAGTAGAAGTAGTAGTCGTATGAGTAGTCGTAGTAGTCGTAGTAGTAGTAGTAGTAGTAGTAGTAGTAGTAGTAGTCGAGGTAGTAGTAGTAGTAGTAGTAGTAGTAGTAGTAGTAGTAGTAGTAGTAGTAGTCGTAGTCGTAGGAGTAGGAGTAGTAGTAGTAGTAGTAGTAGTAGTAGTAGTAGTAGTAGTAGTAGTAGTAGTGGTAGTAGTAGTAGTAGTAGTAGTAGTAGTAGTAGTAGTGGTAGTAGTAGTAGTAGTGGCAGTAGTAGCAGCAGTAGTGGTAGTAGTAGTAGTAGTAATAGTAATAAT